AGCCTTCTCTACAGGGTCTTCTCTTATCTGTCAGACAGGGGCCAAGCGCTGAACAGTTCCTGTCATATTGACTTCAGTGTGGGCCAAGTAAGGATCAGTTCCTGTAAAAACTTCTCTTTGAGGTCTGATCTCATTCACGTTTCTTTCATCGCTTTGTTACAGTTGTAGGAATACTTATTATACCAAGGTATGTGTCTGACCTCTGATTGTTAATTTTCTGTAAGTAGAAGACCTTGATGTACATTTTACCTTAATATGTTGGCAATTAAATCATGTAAAGTAGGGAAGTTGTGGTTTAATAGTTGGTGCTCTTGTTTGGCTACCAGGAATCTAGGTTCATATCCCATGAAGAGATCCATTATTTTTCTGATGATTTATTAAACAACTCATGATAAATTTCATTATAATGAAAGTTAACTTTTCAAGTATCAGTTGTTTTCCAGCCTAAAATTCAATACTTTATCCCAGTTGAATAAGTGTATTGCTGAAATTAAAATCAATTAAAAATTAATTAACTTCAATTAATTATGTTTTTTTAAAACATTTTCACCTTGCAGAATGATATTTAGGTTTGTGCTAAACACTAAAACAATTTTGTGTAGTTTAATATATGAAAATGTTTGTAGGCTTGGGTACAGTACTTTCAATTCCTATTATTACATTCACATTGTCATAAACGTCCGTTGTTTCTGATAAGAATGCATTTTAAGTCCGGAAAATCCGTAGGAATGAAGTTGAATGCATGAGCAAAGTGTCCCACACCCTGACTATCCTGCGATTATCATTCAACAAACATTAAATCTTTCGCTCTTTTTTCATTATTTTTAATTGATTTTAATACGAGAGAATAACAGTTTGTACTATGTATTATCCCCATAAGGTATTGGTTGTGCATTTTTTTTCAATCTTGATGTTTACGTATATTAAGTTTGATATTATCATTTGGCCCTTGAAGATTTAGAAAACATGTCCGAAGTATTTTCTAGATTTCCTCTTGATTTTATCTTATTTCCATTGCAGAAAAAAAAAACTTTCTTCTTTATAAGTCGGTGTTTCAAGATATTTGCGAAATATTTTCAGTGTACTTTCTTTGTGAATACTTGCTACATAAAATGACTAATTGCCTATTCTCTATCTCTCTCTCAAGAGAACACCCCTTGAAAAATAATAGAACAGTTGACTCTCAGCACCAAGCACAAGTGACCCTGCAACTATGGGTCTTCCTCATTCTTTATGTATTGGCCGGAATGTCCACAATGTTGGGGCCCTACTAGACTGAAGGTTAATAAGGGCAAATAGACAAAATTATTAGATTATCACCCCCGCCTGCTTCAACAATTTAGGAAATATTAATGCAGGAATATTTTATTTTCTTTTTTTTTTCTCCATCATTTATTTTTACTACATAAAAATCAAACCATGCTCGGGTGGTTTTTGATTTACATTTGGAACAGAATTTGGAGAGAGTGTTTGATCAAGTCAGAACTAAGTTTTGAAATTTGAATTACATTTTAAAGAAATTAGAACTACATTTTGGAAAATTTGAACTACGTTTTGAAAAATTTGAATTTCGTTTTGGGAAACTAGATCTACATTTTGAGAAATTAGACCTATGTTTTGATAAATTAGACATTGAATGCTGCAATTACATTTTGATTTTAACAGACTTTTGCTGTGTATGGCACACCGTATACAATTTTTTTTACTACTACTCACAAAATATAAAGGAATTGGCTCCGAATTCGGAAAACTTCAAACTCTTTCAATTGATTTTAGGTCAGACATTGGTCGCCGTAAAGTTTAAAGCAAAGCCCATTCTTTAAACTTGTTGTTTATTGTCGTTCAAAATAAACAGCTCGCTAACTGCAGACCCGTGGATTGATTGGGTCATTGATTCACACCTCACATGTTCCACAGAGACTCTCACTGCTAAAAATAACTTGTTACATCATGCATTACAAGTGGGCGGTCTTCCTTGCAATGGGTGTGATTGGTCGGATTGGTTGTTGTTGGGCAAAAAGTACCCTACAACATCAAGAAAGTTTAAGCAAAGGCTTGCCTAGCTCAAGCAAAGACCAAGGCCTTGACGCCTATGCCTACTGAATTATTAGGGTGTTCCCTTCCCATTGATGCTTGAGTAATGTCCAAATTTTTTTCACCGGAATATAGTTTTGGATAGGCCATTTAATCATGTTCGTAGACCTAGGGCAGTTGTTTAAATGTATCTGCCACCTCAATTTTTGTAAAAAAAAAAAAAATGGAGTGATAATCCAATAATTTTTTCTATGTGCCCTAACCACAAGATTTGCAGGTCTTGTGACCAAAAGTGAGATATTATGTCAGTCACTTAAAATTACTTTATTTTTATTTAAACAAAAAATTTTTCATTAATTATTCATTGTGTTTGATTCATTTTCTTTAATTTTTTACCCTTAATTGGATATATTAGAAAAAAATAAATTTTTTTGACGTAAACTATTTGCTTTCACTATGTGGAACTACAACACATAATTACCATCAAAATGTGTGATTGTGTGATCATAAAGAGTTGATGATCCCAACCAGTTTAGAAAAAATGTAATTCTACTAGAGTAACATATAGAATGTGTTGAGAATGAAAGGACGTTGCTTGCATTAGATTCGTTCATGCCATTTGGAGGGGGGGGGGGCATTTTTTTTTAATCAAAGCCTAAGGGAGTTGTTTATTCCAATGAGGCTCTAGAGGAGGGTTTTATTCGAGGGGGAATTTAATTAAAGGGGAAGTTTATTCAATGTGGGCATTAATTTCAATACAACATTTAAAACGTAGTTCCCAACCATTTTAAACAAAAAAATTGGGCAAATTTTCATCTTTCTTGTAATGGCTGCTGAAAATGTATTCTAATACAGTACTCTATCCCCAATTCAAAGCCAATGTTTAATTTTGTTTGTTTCGTATCTTTTGTCCAGAAAAAGTTCACACTGGTACAGTACATGAATTAAGAGTAAAGAAGGGGTAGGCTTATACCTGACGAGCTATGGTAATGCATTTAATACTTGTTGCAGATTTTTTTTTTTAGTAATAAAAGTGTGTAAATTAGCAAAAGTCAGAATTAATTTGATGTGCATCCATCTCATTGGAAGATTAGGAATGATTTAATCCTTTTTAATTAACAGTTTAATGTTTTAATTGAATATGAAGCATTTTTAATTAATTTTAGGTTAAATATTATAATTAACTAATTAATTAATTTCTATCAATTGAAATTTTACCTGTTATACCTACTGTAAATACTTTTATAAAACTGAGATTTTCTTTTTTTTTTATTGTTTCTCAATGTCATAATATGATTCAACATATTTTGTACAAAGGAAATTTGATTTTAAATATATACTGTACAGTATATGACTTTGAGGAATCTATGAATAATATTTTAGTTCAAAGCCAAAAATATCTTTTGGACATCTAAAAAGATAAAATTTAATTACTCTATAAATCGTAATAAAAGAAGGTGTATTCATTTACAAAACTGTATTATTTAAAATTTAGTAAAATAAGTTTGAAAAAAATTAATGGATTAATATAATCTCATATTTCTGTATTTTCATCTTTAGATTTATAAAAGAATGTTTATCCTCAAGAAATAAAAATAAACATGTTTGGGCGTAGGAAGAAAAAGGCACCAACGCCTCCTCCCCGATCAACAGCGACTAAGCTAACAGATGGAGGCACAGCAATTGATGAAAGAGCTCCGAAGCTCAGTAGCCGCCAGAGCAGTGTTACATCAATTACAAGTAACGATTCAGTTGGAAAACCCAAGAAAAGAACTGCGCCCTCTCCCCCAACCAATACATCAACAGTTAATAACGAAAGGCCGGGAGTGTTATCAAAAAAGATTCAAAATGTGAACGTTCAACAAAACTCTATTGACGAAAGTAGAAAAAATTCTTCGGAGATTACTTTCAGCAGTTTTAAACAACCACCAAGTCAGGACAATGAAAGCAAAGAGGTTGAAAATGGAAATGAGAGAACTAAAAATAACATTAATGGATACATGAACCATAATGGTGCAGATGCAAAGGCTAAAGAGGAGAGATTTAGGCTGATCCCAGTAGAATCGTGGGAAGAAAATGAAGTCCTCCAGTGGCTAGCATCCCGAAAAATGCAGTATTTTCATGAACTGTTCTCCGGTATGTTATTTAATATTTGTTCACTATGATTATTCTTGATGGATTATTTTCAATGTCTTATTTGTATTGTTTCAATCAATCGTTGGGCTGTTCCACCCACTCCTGTTCCACCCACTCCTGTGTCACCCCTCCTGAAACTTCCACATGTTGTTCAATGTTGTTTTTTTTGTTTATGTGTTGCTATACACATTGCAGTAATCATAGGACAATGTGTCATTTATTTTTTAAATATTTGTTTTTATTGTTATGAATTCATTTAACATTGTACAGTATCTGATTTGTACCTAAATCTTTGTCACTCAAAACAATTTGGTACTTTCAAAATGAAAGTAAGTGAACAACATTAACATAAAAAGTAAAAGGTTATTGTGTTAAAATAAAAAAAAGTTAATTTAAAGGAATTCCAAAAAGAGGGGGCCCAGGGAAGTACTTTCACAGATGAAGGATCTACACCACGTAGAGGTAAGAAAATTTGTGATTATGATCACCTCTAGATCTACTGGAAATTGCTTTTTCAGACTTAAAATTTGAATATAATTTTCTTTATATCGCCATTAAAAAAACATTTTGAACAATTTAGGGGGCGGCTGGGCCCCTCCCTTGAATCCACCACTGAGACATATGGTATTTGTACGGACACAATGTCTATATTCCCGACCTAAGATTTAAATCATGCTTAAGTTGAAACATTTAACTGCTTATTAGACAACTTGATGATCAAATTTCAGCACAATTTTACACACCTGCATAAGAATCTCATCACCTGATTTTCAACTCGGAACATTGTTGTTTTTTTTATCCGCGTAATCATTCAATGAAATATTTTATTTTAAAATATATAACTATACGGATAAAAATTACAAATAAAAACAACTACAAAAGCAGAAGCAGAAAGCATAAAATAGGTTTGTACATTTAAGTGCCATCCATGTGAAGTGAAGCTCTGAATTTCTTAGTTCAAACTAATAGGTTAGTAGACTTTACTGTACTCTTTTCCATACAGTATTGGTAGTGCTAACTGTACGTTTGATTAAAATATTCTTCGTAATTTGAAATCGGTATATTTGCTGAAGACCCGCTTTAGTGAGTTAGTTCACACTTCTTACTGTTTTTTTTAATGAGTTTAAGTGTGTATTAATTTTTTTGTACAGTTATTATTTGAGAAGTAAAATAAATGAAATAATATTTCATATTGCTATTTTTTCTGAATTTAAGTAAAGTTTACTGATGCGCTGTTCCACAACCAGAAAAAAGTAAAGTAAATAAAAGTTAAAAAAATAATGTTTTTAATATTTTTATTTTAGTGATTAAATATACAATTACAATACCAAATATTACTGCTGTAGATTTTAATATTAAACAATAGCATTTCAATATTAAACAATAGCATAAATTATTTTCTTAAATAATAATGTTTTTGTGATAATAATTTATGATAATATTACTATAATGTGATAAAATTATTTTGTGTCTTCAGGTTTAAATTCCATTAAACTTGTATCAAGACTTAAAACTTTCTAGTAGAATTATCAGGAAATAATTAATTATGGATTACTAATTTACAGATTCAGATCCCCACGCACAACACACACCACACAGACACAGACACCCACACAAACTCACAATTGTAGTATCCCTCTCATACTCTCTACAATATAAGTGTAAATGTGATATAATAAGCACACTGTTGAAGTGTAGTCTTAATAAAGTGTGAGTATAGTAATTGTAGATGCTTTTTGTGACGTGCACAATTACGCTTAGATGTAAGTAATCCTTATAAAATCATATATTTCACACTAACAGTAAGTGTATAAAAATATTCTTGGAATACTAGTAAGTATTAGTGGTCTCAGATTTGCTGCTGGTTGTGGGTAAGCTGGTGTACATGTGGTTTCTAATTTCAGGTTTTGTAAAGTATTATTGTTTCAATGAAATGTGTTTAGCAATACGTTTGACACTATAGTAAAAGTTAATTTACAAATTCCTTTAGTTGGAAAACTAAATAGAAATAATTCATACTTCAGTTTCGTAACTAATGTATCCTTTGACGTGTAAACAAAGCCATGCATAGACAGTCAGATTTTTGTCTGTCAGATTCAACAGACATAACTTGTTTGGTCAGATATTTTTGAAACAAGCATTATACTATAAAGTCCTCTCCAGACTCAAATTTTATTTGACAAAAACATGTGATATGTCTAAATATGGTCATTATAACTTCACATCATGACCATATATAGGCACATCATGACTATACATGGGCAATTTTTTATTTGATAGTCTGGACAGACTGTCAGACAAAGTCTGATAAAACAAATCTGTCAAAATTTGATGCCATGCTCAAATAAGGCTAGATGTTACATTATCAAATTTTGTTTGAAAAAAGTATGTGACATGCCTAAATATGGTAATGGTGACATCACTTTATAACCATATATCATGACTATATCTTGTCATACAACAGTTTTTTGTCTAAGAAAAATTGTGTAGTGTGGACTAAGAGTAAGATGTGTAGCATTGTTACACATCAGCAGCACAACCAATTTTGGACACACTTTTTTTCATACAGTCTTATCTATTTGCTATGTGGCTATTGATTACTGCCAATGTATATTGTCTTGATAACCTGTCATTCAAATTTAACTTCTTCACATGCACAGTTTGTCATCATGCACGTATAAAATTGATTTCATGCACTGACAGTCTTCACATGGAAGATATTTGATATGTGTTTTTTTTTTTTGTTGAGTTTTATACATGCAGTCTTTATACGTGCAGTATTTTTCGAACACAATACTGTATCATATTTTCAATTATCTGCATGCAGTCGTCATGTGTCCCAAGTCTCTCCACATACTCATTTTTTGTTGAGTTTTATACATGCAGTCTTTATACGTGCAGTATTTTTCGAACACAATACTGTATCATATTCTCAATTATCTGCATGCAGTCGTCATGTGTCCCAAGTCTCTCCACATACTCATGTGTCCAATTATGCTCTAAACATCAGCATGTGTCTAGTTATCCTCTACACACAGGTTGTGACCAATTCCCTGCACACAGTCATGTGTCCATTATACTCACGACACAGTTTGTGTCCAATTCCCTACACACCAGCATGTGAAGAAGCACACACATTTCCCATGGTATATACTGTGTCTGCTTCCATCCATGTTGATGATTTTCCAAACTTGTTTTCAAAGGTTCTGTAGAGGATGTTAAATAGTGTGTGACTCTTTGAAGTTTAATCATGGTACTACATACATTGCTGTGGACTGGGAACCCACAGCGTTGCACCTTAGGTACCAATCATCTCAGGAAAGGGTAAGGTTTATAATTAGTTTTTCGTATTTCATTTGTTATTTACATTAGAAATACAATGAAAAAATGAATTATTATTAAATATACAGTATTTACGAAGATGTTGAAAACTCTATTGTTTCCTTCTGATTAGGAATTGACTATTACTAGATGCCAACATCATTCAAGCACCTGTGTATACTGTTCTGGCCGGCCTTGCGCCTTAAATTGCTGGGGAATGGTGTGGTGGTGTTTGGTTTCATCTGCGTTGTTTTATTTTTTTCTCTCTCTTTTTCTGGTTTTCTTCTGTTAGATATATTTCATCAAAGTATATTAGTAAAAAGTACAAAAAAAAAGAAGCAAAAAGCACTCTGATCTTCATGAGGCAGCGCTATGTAAATGATGTAATATATGTAATAACTTAAGTCAGCTGATCTTGGGCTGAAGAATCCATTTGAATTAATAAAAAATGAAGCCGGCCACTGTCATGTTATGTATATATTTTAACAAGTTTTCCAAATCTCTGTGGTCAGTGTTACCAAATAAGTTGAAATCCTTAACCTGGTACACAACCTTTCAATTCAGTATTATTTGCTCCAAGAGCTACCAGTGGGCTATTATTTATTCTACACAAGAAACAATTACATTTACATTCATCCATATACAGTTGCAATAGCCAAAAAAATCAAGATAATATAAACTAACTAAACAAGTATAGATCAATGTGTTACAAGGACAGCAGTACAGACATTTGGACCTGATTCAATCCAACGCTGCTCACCTTGTGTTCCAGCTTAAAGACTGGAGTCCCTAGAGACAATATTGATTTCATGTGATTTTGTAATTATCTTTCTAAATTCAAATTTAGGTTGTCAAGGATCACGAGAGTGTTGAGAAAAGTCACAAGTTACAAACAGAACCAATTGATTTAGATGAATGTTTACGAGCATTTACAAAAGAAGAGGAGCTAGGAGAAGATGAGCTATATTACTGTTCAAAGTGCAAGGAACACAGATTAGCTGCAAAGAAATTAGAAATATGGAGGCTGCCACCAATTTTGGTAAGATCCATTTGTGGAGTAACTAAATTGTTTTTGCATGGTATGCAGCCATGCAAACATGCTATGCAAAAAGCAAACAGAATAATGTATAGATATTGTTTAACTATTTTAGGAAATCATGCTTAAAATTACTTGGTTTTGACTTATGATATATTTATGATGTTAATGTATGCTTTTAAAAAAAATAATATAATAATTTAAGATGTAAGTATACAATATGTTCTGCCATATTTATCTACAAGTTTTTTTGGTGTCTTTTCAGATTGTTCATATGAAAAGATTTCAATTTGTAAATGGGAGATGGGTCAAATCACAAAAAATTGTCAAATTTCCAAAAGAAGAATTTGATCCATCAAACTTCCTTGCTCCCCGAGAAATACCCCAAACACCGTTACTACCAGTGACGCCAAAAAAGACAGTACCCGAGAAAGGGGTTGTACCTGAGAAGGGGGTTGTACCTGAGAAAGGGGTTAATGTTAGCGCAATCAATATGAATGAAGACCATGCAAATAAAGAATCAAAAACAGAAAGTGGACATACAGCGGGGTCCCCAGCTCACAGGGGAACATCACAAAAAAGTTCATCTGAGAGAGACAGTGCAGAACAAAATGGGGTTACATCTGACTCAGAAATTAATGAAAATGAAATAGACGGACACAGAAATGGGGATAATTTTGAAGAGGGGGAAACACGGTCAAGTCCAACTCACTCAATCTCATCCGATCAAAGCAGCGACAGGTCATGTAGTCTGAGCCCTCCTGTGGATGCAACCAATGATCACCCATTGATCTTTAAACTTCCTCCAGAAGTATCCAATGGAGGTGTTCCCGAAAAACCAGAAGGTCCTATGTATGACTTATTTGCTTGTTTTGGCTTTGGATCTTGGTACAAAAACGGCGTCGGATGCATCATGAACACTAGGGTAAGAAAGCAAAGAGTGGGCAGTCCTACATGCAATAAATTATAAAGGATTATCACAACTGAGACACAGATAGTACCATCAAAGTGTTGGGGCCTGTGTGAGATAAAAGAAGAGACTATCTTCATCTTATGTGAGATCAGAGTAGGACCATTTTTTCTTGTTTGAAATCAGAGGAAGACCATCTCAATCGTATGATTTCAGAAGAGGACCATCTTATTAGTATGTGAGATCAGATGACCTTTTTAAATTGCGAGATAAATGGGAGACCATATTATGTAATTTGAGAGGAAGACAATCTTTATGATATTTAAATTGAATCTTTAGCTTATGAGATCAAAAGACAACCATGTTTATTTTTTTTTGTGAGATCAAAGGACCATCTCATCTTTCTGTAGTGCAAGATAAATGGGAACTATAACATGTTACATGATTGAAAGGCTGTCTTTACCATTTGAGAACAGTGTAGGACCATCATTATTTTACGTGTGATATATAGAGCCATCTTCATCACATGTGAGATCAGAGGAGGATTTTCAATTCACTTAACATCAGAGAGCAGTAGTCATCATATGTGAGATCAGAGGAAGGCCTTAATGTATTAATATACATATATTATAAGTTGAGAGATATAGAAAGTACTAAATAAGTAAAACAACGTTTATCTCATACGAGATAATTGATAATTTATAGTCTTTTCTGGAATAATATGATCTTGTGTAAGATAGAGAAAGAAAAATAATTTATATGTATTAAGAAAACGGTGGACCATATTTCATATATACATATATTTATATAATAAACGGTATATATAAATATATCTATATGTAAAACCAATTATCTCACATAAGATGTAAATAGACCATCTACTTTAGTAGGATAGTAGAAGGTTACCTGATGCGAGAATAAGAAAGTACCATTTAAATATAAAAGGACCAATTGTAAAAAAGATAGAAATAGAAGGGACCATACCATATGCAAGTCTGACTCTCTGATGTGAGAATAATAATATTACGTTTATGAAAACAAATCTTTGCGAAATTGTAAGAAAGGTGATTAGTACACTCAGAATATACCCCATCTTATGGTCTCTTAAACATTCAGTAATTTCTATATATAAAGAATTTAGCATTCTATAAATGCAATTTGTGGTATCATGCAAAGATTGCAATACAAAATTAATTACCGAAATTTCTTTTAAAGATATATTTTTGTTATTGTTGCCTTTGAAAATGTCTTTATGTTCGGCTACGGCTCTATTATTATGATATTTTTTTTTTAAATTACAACATAAACAAACTGTTCACTAGTTTAGGATGAAGAATTATCATTACTATACAACTAGTTCTAACTTATATTTTTTAGAGTTGTTTTACTATAAGAAGCCCACCTCCATTATAAATAAAATTCAGGCATGAATGTCAAAGGAAGGCCTTTACTTAACCACAGTAACATATTGAAGTTTATAAATTTTGAAGTGTATAAATTTTGAAGTTTATAAATTTAGTTAAGCCATATCCAGACTATCATATTTTATTTGACAAAAACAGGTGACATGCCTAAATATGGTCATGATGACATCACATCATGACCATATATAGGCACATTATGACTAT